CGAATAAATCGGTTCGTGAGCCGGTGGATTGTGTTCAGTTTAATTTATTTGGTATAGCCCTGTGAGCCATTCGGCGCTTGAATCGGGTGCAACCGCAACAAATATACAGCAGTGGCTTGATCAGGGACGACGATGACTGTGAATGACGTAAGAACAGTCGTGTACAGTACTTTGAAAGCCGTGGACCAAGAATAAGTGGTGTCTTAAGTGAGACTTGGCGATGCACCTATACTTATCCATTTCATCTTCATATTTTCGTTTCTAGTGTAACATTGCATTTTAATTCCATTCCTTAGGAACGAAGTGCAATGCTGATAAGGCGTTCTGCCATTTGAAACATGTCAAAACCTGAAACGTTAACGTATTTAGAATTAAAATGAACAGGTGACTTATTCTGCGGCATCACATATGCAAACAGAACCACACGGGATAATATCTATCCAACAACGTTATCGCTCAATGACCACTGGCCACTGCAGTGTGACCGCACTCCGCTTCACAATTGAAACTGTGGCTGGCACTGTTCCTCGACAATTATAACATTCTTTCTCCGGGGTCATAACGACCATTGCCTTGCGATCCCTGCGCGGAGAATGCCAAACATTCAGCGCCATCGGCGCTCGTGTCAACGGCCGCAAGAATCCAAGGTCCCAAGCGATTTTCTACCAAACTAAATTTGCGGGAAGCGAAAAGTAAACTTTAATTTCTTTATTTTTCACGTGTGTGCATATCTGGGCATCGGTGTTTGACGTGGCCGTGAGAAAGGAAGTTGCTTGCTAAGCTCGTAGCACACGCTGCGTTTCGACTCCGAGCAGGGGACGCAGCCAAACTGAAAGACGGGAGCGTTCGGTGGTTCTTCGTTACATTCCAGATAGGGCCCACGAAGTTCTCTCTCCCCCCCCACCCAAACTTCGTCACAGACATGAAGAGTTCGGCTGCACTCCGACTACCGTATTCTCTGGATTATACAACGCTCCGGAAAGTGGCACGTATCCCAAAACGATGAGCACGGTTGGCTACATTACAGCAAGAAGTTCAACGTACGTACATACAATACAGTTGAAGGAATGTGGTCGCAAACGCACACCGAATACTGGATAATAAGACACACTCACAACGTTTGCATTAGAAATCAGGGTGTGAAATCCCAAAGAAAGTTGAATATATTAAAACTTAACATGGGCTGGCGGCTGACTCGGCATTGACGTGCGAGTTCGACTGTTTGTGGCCGACTGTGTTCCGTTACAGGGCACTTCATGGCATTGGTGTCACATTGTTAAAAGGGGGGAGAGAGAGAGAAATAAGCAACTTAAAAAACAATGATTTACGTACAAATATTTTGGGTTCTCGAAGCTGTGTGCGTATGTATATATATACATAAAGTTGGAGGGTGTCCGGACGCCAATGACACCAGCAGTGGCTGCACCCCTGACTCTGAGAGCACGTCCTGGCCACCAGGAGTGTCGGGACACAAAGCCTCAAGTGGCCCACGGGACCAAATAACAAAAAAGGAAAGGAATTTTTTTTCTCTTGCGCTGCCGGTTGCACTCGAGTATGAAACGATCGCAGCTGCATCAAGTAGGGTGCTGTGAGCTGTGTAAGAGCACCCCCACGTCTTTAATCTCGTCAGTCCAAATTGAAGCCTTGTTTGCATTTCCCAGATAGCCTTGGCTCCAAATATGTTCAGGCAACTTTGTTTTCAGATACATTGCGAAAGATTATTCTATTAGACCGATAAACGTATCAATTCGCTGCTGTACGAAGGCTTTCCCCTGCCTGTCATTGGGGTTGTTTGGCTATTCTTCAGCACGCTGGTCAATGCGGTTTGTTGCAGGGGATGTCCAGGATGAAGTCAAATGTCACCCGACACTGATGTTAACCGTGGCTAGGTATCAAACTTACATTGCCGGGTTCATTGCAAAGTGGACAATGACACAGCTCCAATCCCTTTTCAGATATCTCTGTTTTCACATAGATTATTGCATGTAAAAAAAATCACACAATGAATGCAATCACAAACCCTTCGCTTACATTCCCACAATGTCCATAATAAAGGTTTTTGGGTTAGATCGCGTTTATTTATAAATGTGTCGTAACCCTCCACCACCCGACACGGCCAATCAGCAAAAAAAGTGTCACGTTGACAAAAGACAAATAATTCACTACTTCAGCCCACCGGTGTGTTGAAGAGTTAATCCACATTTACAGTTTGAGTACGACGTTTCGCTGGTAAATACTTCCAGCATCATCGGGCAATTCGCCAGAATGGTAAAGCCCTCGCTTGCTCCCGGTTTTTATATAGAGCAGCAGGGTGTCAACGTGACACTTTTTTTGCTGATTGGCCGTGTCGGGTGGTGGAGGGTTACGACACATTTATAAATAAACGCGATCTAACCCAAAAACCTTTATTATGAATAATATTGGTCGCGAAAGCCTACGTGTTAAACATTCCCACAATGCATAAAAAAAACAAATTGTGACTTATAAAAAATAATGAGCCTTGAAAAGTAACTTTTAAAAAGTACTAAATGTTTGCATCTTGTTTCCATGATACATCTGTCAGCGTTATAAGGTTCCGACTCCTTCCACTTAATAATAATTAAGGTCGTTTGTTTAATTATTTTCTGCCAGACTTAATTCACGTGGATTTTTTCCCCTCTGCCTTCTAAAAGTACGGTATTCGTGACCACTCTCATTGGGGCCCTATTAGCAGGCACAAGGTGGCTTTACGGCAGGACAGGTAATCTTCTTTAAATGAGGCCATTTGAGAGCTGAAAGCATGCCTTCAGGAAGAGAACAGTGGCAGTGAAACATGAAAGTCACGCGGGGGATACAAAATATGCCCTGACAGAAGCCGCTGCGAAAGACGTGGGCACGGCATATAGATTTCAGGATTTGCATACAAAATGCACACTTCCCTCGCATGCCTGGCTGAACAAAAGTCTTTTCAATGCGGGATCAAGTGGGTCAGGAATAACATTTACATCATTTCAAAACGAGATGCTGCCGCACTGTAACGGTTGGCGCTTTCGACTTGCAACCCACGAATCGCCGGTTCGATACGATCTCTCGGTGTGGCAGTTGAGAAAATTGGCTACTGGCACGTTTATTAAATCCCCCCCCCCCCCGTCCCTCCTCTCCAGATTGGGGCGAGAGGGGTGGGAGGGCCCAAGCGGGCCCCATTTATTTCCTTGCACCAGGGACGTGTGTTCTGAGCACGCCAAACACGAGTCGAAAGGCTTGTGAAAAACATATAATATTAGCCTACTTTACCTGCAAAAGCCCCACTGAGTCTCAAGACTATTAAAGAAGGGCCCCTGCTACATTGGGATGTTTAGTCAATGCCAGTCATGATTATTTGGATTGTGAGAGGAAACCGGGAGAGCCCGGAGAAAACCCACAATGTGCATGAGAGGGTGACGCTTGGCATGGCCATCTCCTGGTCACGCTATGGCCCTGCGCATCTACAACACCTGGTGGGCCAAGCCCTCGTGGTCAGCCATCCAATTACTGACCAGGTTCAGACCGGCTTAGCTTCCGAGATAACCCGACAAGATCGAGCACGTTCAGGGCGATCAGGTCAAAGAGAAAAACCGATATCGCTCACGGTAATAAGACACGAGATTTTCAATTCGCGTGAAACATCCCTTGGCCAGGGTGCACAGTGGGGGGAGGGGGGGAGGGGGTCATGGCTCCTCCGTTCCGCCGAACAGTTTCCAGATTTGACGCTGGAGGTCACGAGGCGTCACTAAAAAAAAAATGCTACATGACGGTTACGGGCGGTGCAAGCAAATCCTAGGCAAAATAAATATTAATTGACGGCATGTAGGCCGGGTGCCTTGATTATCGCTGATCAGGTTCCGTTTGCGAAGCTATGGTGACCCCTGGCAAGAGGACGAGGCTTGAAAAGAGAGAGGCGGACAGTGGACAGAATGAAGAGGTGAGCTGGGAAGTGTGCCGTCTCTCTGCAGGGGGACAGCCGAGGAAGATGCTATTTTAAGACTGTATAACTCTGTGATTAAAGTGCTGCCGTTGCATCGGTCATAGGTGCAGACTACTAATCATAGAATGTACCATGTTGTCTACACGGGTGCGTGCGTGCGTGCGTGCGTGTTATCCTGTTATCATGCCGCTTCGAGGCAAAGCGACTGCGGGACAACATGATGCCCGGTGGCTTACACGCATTCTCGTGTATTTGAGATTCCATTTGCCGCGTGAAATCGAAATAACCACAATACTCCATAGCTTTTCAAATCAAATGCCTCCCGGTACCACGTGTTATTGAGCGCGAATCTGTCGCTGTCCGCGATTACTCCAGGATAAGAGAGCTCACATCGTGGGTTTCATCTGCGAGCTCCCAGCCCCGAGCTCCCTGCTCAGCGGGAGACCCACAGTGGACGTCACCGACTCTCGAATGCAGAGCAACAATCGCCCCCCCCCTCCCCCCCAATTTTAACAGTCGGTGAGCCCGAAAGCGACTTGAAATAACAAGCAGAAGGAACAGCGTACACACAACAGCATTCACGAGCACATCTTGGACAGTGACCAAAATGCACTTGATTTATGCAGAGAGATGGACTACTGCTTGTTTATTTGTATTTATATATAAATATTTGCTACTCACAGTATCCCACAACAGCACTCCCCCCCACCCCAGGATTATTGGTTTGGTGGGTGTGTCGGTGTGTGGGTAGGTGGTGGAGAAACAGGAGTAGTCGGTTCACAGTACCCCATCCATCCTGACCCTTGGAAAGAACAGGGAAGTCGGTCAAATAGAAACGGGAACTATCAGCGCAGGTAGTGGCGCCGTACCCACAACAGTGGTTACGTGGGGCAGGGCAAGGGGAAAGGCACGTCGCCGGGAGAAACGACGGTCGGCGGTCGAGATCAGCGACGGCGTGGCAGCCAAGGGAGGGGACGCACCGAAGAGTACACGCCCCATCGTGGAGGCAGCGTGGGGTGGGGGGGGTGGTGTCGTTCGCTACTCGGAGCTCGCCCACCTTTGCAGGTGAAGCAGGAGACGTGGAAGTGGCGATTCTCCACGCGCAGGACCTCCCCGCGGCACAGGTCGCGGCACTTGTAGCAGTGGATCGCGGGCTTGTCCACCAACACGCTCTGCCGCTCGTCCTGACTCTCGGCCACTGGGGGGGGGGGGGGGGGGGGGGGGGGGTGGGGGGCGGTGCGATTGTTTTGCAGGGGCAAATGGGGAGCCGGGGGGGGGGGGGGGGAATCGGGGTAGGGAGGGTGCAGAAGGTGAGACGGTGAAAAGCAAACGTTGCACATGAGACGAAATAAATGCGGTTAAATTGCATTCGATATGGTTGTGAGACTTGTTGCTCAACTTAACGGAAATCTTAAACTAATAAGAATTGGCGCGTTAAACGCTGATGCACTTGGCAATGTCATACTTTGTTTCGCTATGTCAGGTGGCGGAGGGCGTCACGACATGTATCCTGCCAGATGATCACTTGGCCTAACCCAAAACTCAATTTTGAATCGCAAACAAGGTTCTTGACGAATATCAACTCCGTGGTCGACGGTTCGCTCCATGTGCTAGAGGGAGCTTCTTCAGGAGCCTTGAAGAACTTTGAGCAGCTCCCAAGCAAGTGGGAGCGAAACGTCGGACACGGCACCGATCAACACACGGTACGAGCAGAAAGCACTTCGGAGAGCTACAGGGCAGAACTGCAAACACCTCCGGCATCGAGAGCCATCAATTTCTACCCCAAGCAAGGCGACGTGGCATGTGTACCCTCACGTACAGTATGCCGATTTGCTCGTCACTCTAACGATCTTGTTCCTCTCTTTCTTACTAGCCTGCAGTGTTTTGCGCTAAATCTGAAATATTCACTCGAAAATAATGTTACAGGCATGATTATTGGGTCCATGTGGAGTGATGTCACATGCACGTGATTACACCGTGTAACAAAAACATTTATTTTGTTCCTGGGTAGTAAGTGTTATTTCCTAATTGCTTGTGCCTAAAAAGTATAGAAAATGGCTATAATTCCCCACAAACTTGGCTTTTGTGACCAGGATAGTGATATTTTTTTAATTTAACTATTTTCAGTGAGACAACGTGTGCGTTTGTGTCTTTCGTTGACATAAAGTCCCGGTCACAAAAGCAAAGTTTCTGGGGATTATTAGCCATTTTTAAAATACTTTTTAGGCATACAATTTTAAAAACTTAGTACCCAGGAACAAAATTGTGTTACACCGTGTTGTTGATGAGAGCGTTACAGAGTTAGCGTGACAGCAGGATTCTGGCTTTTTATACATTGAGAGAATATCGGTGCACGCATTTCTTTCGGTGACCTGATAATAACAACCACGGCGGGAGGAGGAGGATTAATCCACACGTGATGCCTGCACGGTCGAAGGGACACGCGGAGGAACGTCGCACGCGCATTGTTGAGTGAAGGTGTTGAGTGCAGGAGTCCAAGTGTTTCAGGTGTTGAGCGCAGGTGTGCAGATGTGCAGGTGTTGAGTGCAGGTGTGGAGTGCAGGTTTGGAGTGCAGGTGTTGAGTGCAGGTGTGGGTGCGTTCGTTTCGCAGTCGCCAGTTTGCCACGCACACAACAGCGAGGCCACGTGAAGTGTCGAACACCCGCTGGCAGGAGGTCACGGGGCAGACCCAGGTGGCATGGGTCGACTGACTCAGATGAGTGGCCGATGCACCACCTGTGCCCCCTACTGTGCCAACTTGCTGCGTTTTAGCCGCCCGGCGCTCCGCTCGTTGTTGCGAGCGTCTCTCCTCCGCCCTCCGTTGTTGCTTGAGGGCGGCTGCCTCCAACTGCCCAGCAGCGTCCTTCACGAGCCTCCTCCACAGAGGCCGATCTTGACACCGCTGGTACCAGTCATCGGCAAGTCCACTCAGCTCCACATCCTCCTGTGCCACATCACTCCATCTCTTCTCTTGCCCGTGCCGCGCCCATTTAGCCCCCTCTATTCGGCCGAACAAAAGCTGTTTAGGCATGCCGTGGATGGGAATGCCGTGCACACACACACATGTCCACACACAAAGATAACCATTCTCCCCGACTCCCCACTATTCTCCCCGACTCCGCACCATATAGCCTTCATTTTGACAAATACTCTTAGCGAGCACCTATTAGAGCCAGGGACAGCACACGAGTGGGTGGTGCAGCGAGAAGGACGCTGGGCCAAATGTCTCCCCCAGTGTCAATGTTGTTTCACAGCACACCCGGTACTCACTAAAAGGCTGAGTCAACCTAGGCGTGGCCCAGAACCAGTTCAGATATCGCTCGCCACTGATGATGTTGGCAATGAGAATGAAACTCACTCAGGTCGCCGAGATCGTTGCACCGGGTGCTAACCAAAAGACAAAAACAAAGATCCCCCTTTAGTGAGGACTTACGAAGGCCGGAACTGTGGCACACGAGGGGGTGGGTGGCCAGCACCACGCCCGACCGCCTTTGTCTCCCAAGTGGCGATATTTACACACCGCACCAGGTACTCATTTGAGGCTGAGTCGACCTAGGGGAGGCCCAGGACCGTTAAAAAAATCGTCACTGGTGTTGGCCGTGAACTCGGATCGCCGGGCTCGTACAGCAGTGCGCTAACCGCGACACTACCGCTCCCACGTACACACACACACACACATGTCCGTCCACCCACGCACGCGCACACAACACACGCAGCTCAGCCGTTGGAGAATTAGTCAATGGAGCCGGGATGATTCGTTGATCGGGTCGATTCATCGACTAACAAATGTAAAGCAACTGCTTTTTTTTAGTGGTCGATCGGTTGGACTCCGATACAATTGGCGACCGCCTCGACATCCTGGCATCCCGAAGGCAGGAAACCCCCTGTGCCGTCGCACCAACCATGGCCTGACTAGTGATGTTGACGACGTCATCAAGCCCCGCCCCCTCACCTCCTGTCCAGCGGCACACATGGAAAAGGAGGTGAGACTTTTTTTGTTGTTGCCAAACTCTTTGTCGCATTCATTAGACCTCTTTTGCCAGTACCAAAAGATAATAATAGGGTTTTTATTGTTATATTTTGGTACTGGCAAAAGAGGTCTAATGATCTTCTTTGGTTCTTTCGGTAAAGTCACGTAGAATGAGAATAAAATAATAAATTGATAAAATAAAATAACACAATAAAATTCTCACGACGTTTCGGCCACAACACAAGCGGCCTTCATCAGGTGAAGGGACGAGACTGTCTGGAGGACAGCGTTGGAGCGAAAAAGCCACGCTCAGATCGCGACCTTTAAGCTGTGTGAGAAGAAACAAAGCGCCTTGACAAAGGAATTAGCATAGAATTTAGCATTGAAATAGCTGAGTGATTAGCTTGTGATGTAGATGCTCACCCCGAGCCCTCATTACTTTGATAGTGCATTGTCTTTGAGCTGTACGCCTTTTGGCGTCATCTAGTCGAGCACCAATTGGGTCGAGGCTCAAAAGAAAGCCGTCCCTTGGTGTGAACCAATCAGTTTCAAGGACAATGCATATACTATCATAGTATGTTTTTTGTTTGCATTTTGACTGCGGGTATTGTGGTTAATGCAGACATGAATCCTTGTAAAAAAAGGTTTCAGTTTTGTTGCCAGAAAAAAAGGGGAAAAACCCTATTATTATTCTTTGTCGCATTGTCCAATTAGCCGATCATCGGCAAGGGAATCGATTGCTGAAAATAATTAGAAAGCCGAGCTCTGGAATAATGCCATCTCAAGCCAACCCATCGTTGTGCAAGTTCCTTGCACCCCGACCTCGCCTTGCCAGGGGAATGGCCTGGGCAAGCAACGCTGACATTCAGCCCCCACGATCACGTCCCTGCTCCCGCTCAATGTATGGCCCTGAAATTACCGCCGGGACTTTAAAAGCTGGAGCATCTAAATGTCGTAACTTCTCACGACCTCGGCTACGTTAGACAGCAAGCAAATTATTTCGTCGTGAGCTTATTACACAGCCTTTTTGAGTCTCGTAAGGCCCTCCCAGAGTCAACACGGATTAAGCATATTGTCCCTTGGCTATGCACAAGAGTGGGCCCAGGGAAAACCCACTAACGAGATGCCAAATTAATGCCATCATCATGATCATCATCAGCCGTGATCTATCCACTTTTGGATGAAGGCCTATCCAGGCCATTGGCATCCCACACAGTCCCGTGATGCCACAACATCCATTTCACTCCCGCACATGAAGCTGGAGTCTCTGCTATCAAAGTCATCGCCCAAAACATTACCTGTTATATATTTGTACATTTAAGGCAACGTTATTGACAATTTGGTGAATGGTTTGTATCTGTGGTGGTCATCCTCGTAGGCTTAATTCTCGCCTTTGTCCGCCATTCCATCACAAATCTCGTCCACCATCAGTCATCGACCCTTCCTGCCCAAACTTGCGTTCTTTAATAGTCAATATACATAAAGACTAGCAGCTGTATACGTGTACGTACATAGAGTATGTGTAGGTGCATACAATTAAATGAGTGGGTGGGCAACCTATGGGCTGGTTTTGACCATTCGGGTCTCATCAACATGTGTGTGAACATTGCTAACTGAACAACATTAACTTATTATGCAAGGTCGATAGGCTGATAAAATAACCAAAAAAATGTCATGGATGCCTCATATGCCTAATAACGGGCAGCAAATACCTTGCAACCACCCGTGGCATGAATGATGAAGCACGCGTGTACCCCAAAACAGTCACGATGCGTGTCGATCTACTTTGTCTTTACAGCAAACGCGAATAAAACGTGGGCCACTGTCCACAGACAACCACAATCCTTCCCATACAAGTGCTTCGTGACTGTTGATGGAACTTGACAAATGGGCCGTCCATAAATGACGTCACGCGATTTTGGACGATTTTTGACCCCCCCTCCCCACCCTTCATCACACGGCGTCACAAAAAGTGAGACCCCACCTCAAATATGACGTCACAAAGCTCTGCCCCCCCCTCAAAAAAATAAAACATGCTTCGAATCGATTTAAACTATTGTCATTGTAGTGCGTATTTAATGTGGCGCTGCACTCTGATGTTGTAGGAGAAAACATTTATGAAAAAGTCTATTTAATTGAGTAGAACGTGTTATCTATATGTATTTAAAGTCACATTTCTCAAACCCCCCTCGTCACATATCGTCAATCCATACGGTTTAGCCCCTAT